GGTGGTGTTGGTGATGATGACGACGTGACGATGATGATGGTGGTGATGATGAGTGCTGATGGTGAGTGACCGTGCGATTCTGATGGTAAATGGTGGTGATGATGATGAGGACGAAGTGGTGAGTCAGCGAGATAGTGATGATGATGATGATGATGATGATGATGATGATGATCGTTCGATGCCGATGATGGTGAGTGTTCGTGCGATGGTGATGGTGATGATAATGGTGATGATGATGAGTGGGGAGTGATGGTGATGGTGATGATGATGCGGAGGAGGAAGCAAAGAGGAACAGAGGAGAGGGACGAGGACGATATATCCTGCGCGGAGGGTGTGCAGAGAAAATTATTCCGACGGAAGGACCCACATGATAATCCCTTTAGCTTGCATGGGGGTATCCTCCTGCCCCTTCCCTTCTCCCACCTACTCTTGCCTCCTCGTTCTCCTCCTGTCTGCTCCTCCTCCTGCCTCAACCCCTGCCTCTTCCTCCTCTTCTTGCCTCCTCCACCTCCTCCCCCTCCCCCTCGTTATGCTTCCTCCCCCCCATTCCCCCTGCCCCTCCTGCCTCCTGCCTCCTCCTCCTGCTCTCCCTCTCCCTCCTCCTCCTCTCCTCCTCCTCCTCATCCCCTGTCCTCCTCCTCTCCCTCTCCCTCATCCGCTCCTCCTCCTCCTCCTCCTCCTCGTTTCCATATTCCTCCCCCCTCCTCCCTCCTCCTCCTCCTCCTCCTCCTCCTCCTCCTCCTCCTCCTCCTCCTCCTCCTCCTCCTCCTGCCTCCTCCTTAGGCCTCCTGCCCCCTCCTGGGGCCTCCTGGGGCCTCTTGGGGCCTCCTGGAGCCTTCTGGGCCTTCCGGGACCTACTGGGGCCTCCTCGGGCATTCCTCCTCCTCCTTTTCCTCCTCGTCCTTCCTCCCCTCAGCCTCTTCCTCTTCCTGCTTTCCTGTCTCGTCCTGCATCATCCCTCCTCCTTTTCCTGGCAATCCTCCTCCTCCTCGTCCTCGTGCGGAACACGACCCAGAGGAAGCGCACGACGTGCGTCCCAGCCGATACGCGCCGGAGGACGACCCAGAGGAAGCGCGCGCCGGAGGATGACCCGGAGGAACCACGTGAGCTGCGGGACCCATAGGAAGGCTCCCGCCTGACGCGTCTTCACAATTCACTCACAGACGAGGGTCCCGCTTGATATTTATTCCAAATTCAGACCTGAGGAGCCCAAAAGTGACGACAGTTACAGGAATCCGATGACCCGCTCGGATTAGTAACATGATCTGCGGGCCCCATAGGGAGGGGGCGCCCTTTATTAGATTTGCTCGCAATTCACTGACCAACAAGGCTCCTGCCTGATACTTCCTCCAAATTCAGACCTGAGGAGCCCAAAAGTGACGACAGTTATAGGAATCCGATGACCCGCTTGGATTAGTAACATGATCTGCGGGCCCCATAGGGAGGGGGCTCCCGCTTCAGAATTCCTTACAATTCACTCACAGACGTGGTTCCCGCTTGATACTTCCTCCAAATTCAGACCAGAGGATCCCAAAAGTGACGACAGTTACAGGAATCCGATGACCCGCTCGGATTAGTAACATGATTTGCTGGCCCCATAGGGAAAAGGGCTCCCGCCTGAGACTTCCTCACAATTCACGCACAGACGAGGCTCCCGCTTGATACTTCCTGCAAATTTAGACCTGTGGAACCCAAAAGTGACGACGGTTACAGGAATCCGATGACCCGCTCGGATTGGTAACATGATCTGCGGGCCCCATAGGGAGGGGGCTCCCGCCTGAGACTTGCTCGCAATTCACTGACAAACGAGGCTCCCGCCTGATACTTCCTCCAAATTCAGACCTGAGGAACCCAAAAGTGACGACGGTTACAGGAATCCGATGACCCGCTCGGATTAGTAAAGTGATCCGCGGGCCCCATAGGGAAGGGGACTCCCGCCAGATATTTCCTCACAGTTCACTCACAGACGAGGCTCCCGCTTGATACCTCCTCCAAATTCAGACTTGTGGAGCCCAAAAGTGACGACAGTTACAAGAATCCGGTGACCCGCTCGGATTAGTAACATGATCTGCGGGCCCCATAGGGAGGGGGCTCCCGCCTGAGACTTGCTCGCAATTCACTGACAAACGAGGCTCCCGCCGGATACTTCCTTCAAATTCAGACCTGAGGAGCCCAAAAGTGACGACAGTTACAGGAATCCGATGACCCGCTCGGATTAGTAATATGATCTGCGGGCCCCATAGGGAGGGGGCTCCCTTCTGAGATTTGCTCGCAATTCACTGACCAACAAGGCTCCTGCCTGATACTTCCTCCAAATTCAGACCTGAGGAGCCCAAAAGTGACGACAGTCAGAGGAATCCGATGACCCGTTCGGATTAGTAACATGACCTGCGGGCCCCATAGGGAGGGGGTTCCCGCCTGAGACTTTCTCACAATTCACTCACACACGAGGCTCCTTCTTGGTGGATGATGGTGATGGGATGATGACGACGGTGTTTGATGATGATACATGATTGATGATGATGATGATGATGATGATGATGATGATGATGATGATGATGATGATGATGATGATGATGATGATGATGGTGGTGGTGGTGATGATGACGACGTGATGATGATGATGGTGGTGATGATGAGTGCTGATGGTGAGTGATCGTGCGATTCTGATGGTAAATGGTGGTGATGATGATGGGGACGAAGTGGTGAGTCAGCGATGATGAAGATGATGATGATGATGATGATGATGATGATGATGATGATGATGATGATGATGATGATCGTCCGATGCCGATGATGGTGAGTGATCGTGCGATGGTGATGGTGATGCTGATGGTGATGATGATGATGAGTGGGGAGTGATGGTGATGGTGATGATGATGCGGAGGAGGAAGCAAAGAGGAGCAGAGGAGAGGGAGGAGGACGAGAGATCCTGCGCGGAGGGTGTGCAGAGAAAACAAGAACTCCACTTAGGATGTGGGGAACAAGAACCCCACTTAGGATGTGGGGAAAAACAACCTTGCACCGTCCGACCAACATGAAGAACCGAACAGCGCCCGGGGAAAATCTCGAATGGATCGGAGCCATGGAAGGCCATGCCAATACGCTTTGGAACCAACCAATGTAAGCAATCCCCCTGAGGTACCTCCGTTTTCCGCATGCGCCGCTTTCGAACATGTGGCCGACCACCCATCGCGGCGAAGGGGGGCTTCCTGGCAATCGGCGTTCAAAACTGCGTGGGTCTCCTGAACGACAAGCGCATCACAACTAGATTACCCACTGAGGACCCTCTCGAGGCTGGAATACCCGGTGTCTTTGGAGGTACCGGTGAACCAATCTCGAGGTCCGTTGGTGCTGCTGTCCAGCACGGCGGCTTCGTCGCTGCTAAATTGACGGCCTGAGTTCGCGCTCTGCCGAACGAGGGAAACGAGAGCCATGGCGCTTGGCCTCAGGCGTGGGGGCGCTCGCCGCCGTCGCCGCCACATCGTCGATGACGTGCGTGATCTGCCCTTGCTGGACACAGTTCGCCGCGGCGATGTCCTTGGCCATGCCGGCGTTGCCCAGGGTGGCGAGGACGACCTGCTGCATCTTGGCGCTGTCAGCCCACGAGTCGTCGAAGCTGTCGTCGCTGTCGGGCATCTCTTCGTTGTCTCCCACAGGCAGCTCAGGACCACCGCCATCAGGATCAGCGCGAAGGGGAGGAGCAGAGGCCGCACGCTGAGCCGCCCGCTGGCTCTCCGCCTGAGCGTTGGCCGTAAGCAACATGTTGAACTGCATGGCGAGGCTGGGGTCGAGCGCATTGAACCTCTGGAACAAAAACACCTTCTCGGGCGCGTTCTCCGCGGTCGCAGTAGCCGAGCCCGAGCCTGCGATCTGAGTCCACGCCTGTTGCGACTTCTCGGCCGCAAGCCTCTCCTGGTCGAGGAGCGACGTCTGCTGCAGCCTGAGCTCGACCACCCGCTGTAGGTGCTTCTTGAGAGCGGGCGCGGCGTTTTCAAGCGTGCTGCTGGCGGCCTCAAGCTTGGACTTGAGCTGCCCATACTCCTGCTGGGCAGCTCGAGACACGGCTCGTGGATCACCTGACTGTTGCGCGCGCGTGCGTGACTTGAGCCCGCTGCGCAGACGGGAGCAAGGTGCAAGCTGTACTGAAGTGCGCCTCGGACATCGCTGCGAAGGCCTGCACCTGCTGCTCGTCGAGCGCCTTAGCGCTGAAGGAGGGCGTGCCTGCAGACCGCGGGCCACCCTTGCCACGTCGCCCCGAACCAGCGGCAGCAGCACTGGCAGCGCGACCGTCAGAAGGACAAACTTTCGGGAGCGGCTGCCAGCAGTGCACGCACCAGGTGCAGTGCAGCTTGCTCTTCTTGCACTTGCAAGGGGGCCACACGGACGACATGGCTGCCCAGGGAAAGCCGTGTCCAAGAGAAAGGCGCGTCTGAGGGCGATCGTTCCGCGGGCCAAAGTTAATCGCTGATCCCCAGGCGTCTCTAGCCCTTCACAAAGTTCAGCCTTGAGCCGAAAAGAGCTACGGATCCTCCTCCTCCTCTTCATCATCATCATCTGCCCCCTGTGCGTCCAGCCGTGGTGACGAGGAGCCCCCTCCCCCGAAGGCCAGCGGCCAGCTGCCGTGGCCTCGACCAGCCCAGGGCTCGTTCCGATTCCTCCGATTCGATCCGATCCGACCTCGACGGTTCCCGATTCCGACTCGAGTCGACCAGGGATTCCGATTCGGGTGCCGATTTTTTTAACCGGAAGCATACCAGCTCGTTTCGATTCCTCCGATTCGGTTCGATTTCGATGGTTTCCGATTCCGATTCGGCTCGGCCAGGGATTCCGACTCGGGGCCCGATGTCTCTTATCGGAGGCATACATACCAGCCTGCCGATGTCCGCCGATGCGACTCTTCCCGGCTCGGCGGCCGCTCTTCGCCGATCCGACTCACGTCGCTCGCCGCTCCGACGTAGCGATTCGCTTCCGGGCCCCCCTACCGGCCTCCATCGGAGGTGCCCGGGCAGATCTGGGGGTTTGAGCAGTGCATCGCGCTCCTGTCGGTCTCCACGAACATCCGGATGACGGCGGTGAGGCTGCGGGACGGCAGGCGGGCGACCCGGCGAAAATGGGGCCGCCTGCGCCGACGGTGGCCAGCGTGAGGCCGCGCGTGAGCGCCCTCGTTTTCAATGTGGGTTGCCGCTCGGGCGGCCCGCGCAAGCCGCCGCGTAAGGTCTCTTCGTCATCTCGCGTAAGGTTAAGTCGGGCCTGGCCCTCTAAAATTGCCAAACGATGAAATACGTTTTGAGTATTTTCAATTCTTCGCCCACAATCCCCCTGCAGGGGGACAGGCCCGACCTAAGCGCAAGACCTGTTTTTGATCGTCGCGCAGGTTGTGGGTCTCCGCGCCGATCTCGCCGACCCGGCAGTGCCTGCGGGAGCTGGACGAGCTCGGCGAGGTTCGGGTTGTGCCAGAGGGAGTCACCGCATCGGGTGAGGCCAATTCCTCGTGGAGATCGAGGTTCCAGCATCGAGGCTCGAGGAGGTTTTTGGCCGTGTGGTGGAGTGACATTGAGTGCCCACTCCCTCGAGCGGCAGAAGTATTGACAAGCGGAGGTCCGCGCGGGGTTTCTTGGATCTGCGCTGGGCCCTCCTGGCGGCGCCTCCGGCGCCGCCCCTGGCGCGCTCCGCGCACCAGGGAGGTGGCTCCAGCGCCGATCCGAGAAGTCCGCGCCGAGCTTTGCTGTCCTTCCTTTAAGAGGTGGCCCACCTGGTCGTCCCTTCCACGGCGCTGGAGCACAAGGCGCCAGGGGCAATGTTAAGGGGGGGATGCGCTCATTCGGATGCAACTCCTGGGAGGTCAAATTCCGATTTTGCCCTGGTCCGAAATCCAATTGAATCCGCCTTATCACGCTTCATCCGGCTTGATCCCGCCTAATCCCGCTTAATCCGGCTTAATCCCGCTTGATCCGAGGCCCATTTCGGCGTAAGAGCCCACCATTGGGGCCTAATCCTCCTTAATCTTTCCGAGGAAGACCTCCCAGTAGTTGCCTCCTAACGCTCAGGGGCAGAGGCATCGACCCGTCACCGCCCATTGACCGCCGATGGGGGCCGATGGCCCCGCCCAGGCCAGGGGTGTGCGGATCCACCATCGACGGCCTCTCGCCGATGTGTCGGCGATGTATCGCCGATTCACGCTCGATGTCTGCCCCACGGAACTGGCCCCGGAGGAGGAGGAGGAGGAGGAGGAGGAGGAGGAGGAGGAGGAGGAGGAGGAGGGGGAGAAAGAGGAGGAGGAGGGAGGAGGAGGGAGGAGGAGGAGGAGGAGGAGGAGGAGGAGGAGGAGGCTCCCCCATCCTTGCCCCTCGCAGGCGTCGCTGGCGGAGTTTGCGCGCATCTACCCGCGCGCGGCCGTGTGGGTGGCGCCCGGGCAGGAGGCGCAGCCGCTGCCCATGCCGGCCGGCAGCCGCGTGCTGGGGCAGGGACCTCCGGGCCTCCCAGACCAGAAGAAGAATTCAAAGCCTAAGCTTTGGACACCCGAAATGGGTACCGAAAGAATGGGCAATGTCCAACAACAAATGTTGTCCCAAATCAACAGCGGCCGCTGTTGGGCAGGCGGCCTTCTGTCTCAAATGGACACAGGCCGCGGCGGCGCGGACAGCGAATCCTGTTCAAGATGGACAGGAACTGCTGTTCGGTATCGTGCCCATTCTTTCCGTGCCCATCTCATTCGTGCAGATAAGCAGGTTCGCCTCGTGTCGACAGGCGGCGCTCCCGGCGCGGGCGTTCAAGGTTGAACGCCGCCTGTGGCCCAGAGTCGGCCTATCCTTGAACGATCCGGCCGTTTTGAAAGGGCCGATCGTGCGAGTTTTTAACGATCCCCGCGGTGCCAGGAACCAACGCCAGAGTCAACACAACGCGAACCTGCCGCGTAAACATAAACTTTTGGCGCTCCGCGCGTGTTTCATGGATCTGCGCTGGACCCCCCTCGCTGGCGCGCGGAGCGCGCCAGGGGCTGCTGCAGAGGCGCCGCCAGAGGGGCCCAGCGCAGATCCAACAAGTCCGAGCGGAGCGCCAACAGTTCATTATTATGCTCCTGTTTCTTCTTTTGCAGACGGCGTTCGAGCGGACGGGGTCGAACAGTCGTGCTGCATCGCCGATGCATCGGCGCTGCGGCTCGCTTCGGAGCACCTGTTTGGGATCGAGCCTCGAGCGACGAGCGACGCGACAAGCCGAGGCCGCGCGTGCCCCCGGGCCAAGCTGCCTGCGGTGCAGCATCGAACGGGCATCGACGACGAGGGGACCGGAGGCGGAGCGGCGGCTCGCTGTGAAGAGTCGGGGGCCCCCAAATGGTGTGGTGACCACACCGTGCGGTGAGTCGGTGGGGATTCGGGGTCACCGCACGGTTTTGGGACTCGAGTCCTTCTCCGAGGATGTCTCGGGCGACAGGGGCCTCCAGGGTCCCAAGACCGTGCGGTGACGGACCGTGCGGTGAGGTCTTTGGGGGAGTCGAGGTCACCGCACGATCTGTCATCGCACCGTTTCGGGACTCCAGAAAGAAGCCCGATGTTTTCCACGGCGCAGATTCACCGCACCGTCGTCGCAGATGTGCTGCCGGCGTCGCCGATGCATCGCGCCGAGGTATCTCGAAGAAGAAACATCGGCGTGAACATAAACTTGTGGCGCTCCGCGTGGATTCCTATGATCTGCGCTGGGCCCTCCTGGCGGCGCCTCCGGCGCCGCCCCTGGCGCGCTCCGCACGCCAGGGAGGGGGATCCAGCGCAGATTAAAAAAATCCGCGCGGAGCTCCAAAAGTGTATATTTATGTACTAATATCGGCGACGCATCGGGTATGCATCGGGGATGTGCGCGATTCTTCGACCCCATCTGCTCGAACCTCGTTAGGGAGGCCTCCAGGGCCGGAGCCGCCGTGGGCGGAAGAGCTGCCCTACAAGGTGTGGAGGGGAACCGGCTGAAGAGATCGCGGGAGGGAGAGGTACCGATGTTGTTGCTCGTCTTTGGCGAGCCCACGCCACCACGGTGGGATTATCTTTTTTGAGTTCTGGTCAGAATGTACGTCAGGACAGGTTTAGGTCGGGCCTGCCCTCCTACAGGCAGACTTTGGACGAACAACTTAGAATATTCCCAAAACATAAAAAAATGCAAACAACAAATACTCAAAACACCTTCGGGGATGGCCGCGTGCGGCTGCAACGTTAAGCTGGGCCTGTCCCTCTACAGGGAGAATATTCAAAAATAGTGAAACATAGTTTTGGGGCGATCTTTTGAACGGTTGTTTGAAAATTTTTGGATTTCTTCCATCTAAAATCCGGCTGTAGGGGGACATGCCCGACCTAACTGCAACGCAAGACCGCGTGGGTTATAGCTGCCATGTGCTCGAGACGCTGCGCGCAACCTGGAGCAGTGGCATATCCGCGCCCCCTGGGGCCCCAGCACATCCAGATCCACCGCTCCCCCTGGGACACGGTCCTCCACACACGTGCGCTTCCAGGAGCCCGCGCGGGCTCGGATCTGCGCTGGGCACCCCTCCCGGAGGCGCCCTCCGCGCGCCAGGGGGGGGGGGGGGAGCGCCTGGCGGCGCCGACCCGCGAAACATTTGCGCGGAGCTCCAGCACATGATGTTTTCGTGCAGACGTGTTATGCACTGGAGGCCCATGCCACGAAACTCCTTTCTTGCCTCCAGGGTGCCCTGGGGTTTTCCTGGGTGTCGAGGGCTTTGCGATGGAAAGAGTGACGTTCCCACGCCAACAATCCATGGACGTCCTGGGGTCTCAGGGTTGGGCTTCTTGTGGAAGGTTCCTCGTGGACTGGCCTCCACTGTATGCGGGAGGTGTTCTACGTGGCGCCGCCCGTGACGGACACGTTCGCCGAGGTTGCGTTCTTACACCGCGACAGCGGCACACTGCTGGTGACCGACTGCGCGCTGAAGCTCTCGCAGGCGGCGCCCAAGATATTGGAGTCCTACGGCTACGATGGGACCCCCGGCCCTATCTCCCCGGAGCAGTGGCGCTACAAGGCCATCGCCTTGGAGCCAGCTGGGGGGCTGAGGTGGCCCAGACTTGGTTCTGGCCAGCAGAAGTCCTTGAGCGCGTTCCACTACGAGCCAAGCGCCTACTCGCGAACGTCAGAAAACATATAGACCTTCTATGTAATGGAGCGTAAGTCCACCGCGGTGAATTCAGGCCATTTGCGAGTGGGCACTTTGCGAGTGGTGGACCGCGCTTGTCGAAGAAGACGATATGATAATAGGGCCCCCCTCATCGCCACGGCTGGGCGCGGCTCGAAAAGTTGTCTTGTTTCGATCCCAGGAGGGGCCTAAGCACCAAGCTTGACATATTTTACCCTCGCGCCTCCCCTCTTGGCCGATGGTCGTTAGGCTGATCCAGCTCTAGAAGAATCCACATAAACATAATTTTTTGGCGCTCCGCGCGGATTCCTTGGATTCGCGCTGGACCTCCCTCCCTGGCGCGCGGAGCGCGGGGGCGGCGCCAGAGGCGCCGCCAGGGGGTCCAGGCGCGGATCCAAGAATTCCGCGCGGAGCGCCAAAAGTTGATGCTTATGTGGTTTTTTCTTCTTCGAAGCTCGGACCTCCCAGCCGCCTCCGATCAATCGCCTTCGACTTTGTGACCGCGCGGGGCCGCGACGAGGCGGACTTCGATGCCCTGGCTCGCCCGCCCGCGATCGTCAACCCGCTGCTGCGCTTCCTGGTCTACCGAAGATGCGCCGACCAGGCCGGGCTCCGGGCCTCCCCGTTGGCTCACTTGAACGGGGGGAAGGTGTCGCATGCGTCTCGAAGAGGCAAGCACGCCAGAAGATTATGTTTATGTGTTTTTGGTTATTCTTCTAGCGTCGCAGATGCATCTGCAATGTGGCGTGATGTGGTCATCGACCACGAAAAACCTGACCCTAATACCACGATGGACACGTGGCCTCACCGAGGTCCCCGTCCTCGCATCAGGGATGGTAGTTCTGGGCGCCTTGGTCTGATACATCCTCAAAACAGACCCCCTATCCCTAATCTTTTTGGCCCTCCTAACTTATTTCCACTCCCAGAGGGTTGGTGGTCCTTTTTTGGTCAACCATATTGACACATGTGTCCTCTATCTGGAATCGGCGATGCTATGCGATCTTCCGACCCTGTTCCTGACTACAGTTGGCACGGGGGTCAAGACCAGCCCTAGGCTTGCAGGGTTCCCTCGTGTTTTTCGGGCTTAGGTCTTCCACTACAGATGGCACCTCGTTCTGGGTATCTCCATGGGGCCCTGGGCCTTTGGCGAAGGGGCTCACGTTCTTGACCCACGCTCTTGTGCCTCGCGATCTTGACGACATTCGCTCGTAAGCTTCCCGCGTGAGGTCCCGCGTGAGTGCCCGCATCTCCAGGCGGAGTGCCAGGCTGGCGGCCGGCGTAGGCTGCGGCCGAAGGTCGCTGTGTTCTCTCTCTCACCCGTGGCCAGTTTTTTCTTGTCGCTCCTGCGGGTGGCCCCGACCAGGCTCGCGCCTGGGTGGAGGACGTCGCGAGGTGGCCCTTCGTGCGCATCGTGCCAGCCCACCTGCAGGCCACCGCCGCGCCACGGCGACGATTCAGGGCCCCGGGCGCGTCGGGCGGCGTCGGGCGTCGGCCATCCATCATCATCGCCGTCGTCGATCCTTGTCTTCGTCCTTCTGGTTCCTCTCCTCCCTCCACGTTTCCTCCCCTCCCTCCCTCCCTCAGTACCCCAGCTCTGGGGGGGAGGAGGGGGAAGGACAGGAGGGGAAGCTGGTCCGTAGCCATCCCTAGATGCTGTTGACCACATCAATAAAACTTCGAAGACACTCAGTTCACTGAGTTGTATCGTACATCATCGACAGGATTTTTTTGTTTACTAACTTGGCGATTACTGATCACATTGCCAAAGACCACACACATCGTGGTGATGTCCCAATTGCGGCAGATCGGTCCCCTGATGCTGCTGGGTGATACACCAAAGCATACACCATCTAGCTTAGACCGCATAACTCACATCACGGAGCCCACGCTGCAACATTTACACGTCACAGTGTACACCACAGAGTTTACATCGTATAGTTCACACAACGTCTCACACCACATAGCTCTCACAATACAGCTCACACGGCATAGTTGACTCGACCGAGTCTCAACTAGCATATTTCACACAGTGTCGCACAGCATAGCTTACACCGCATAGCTTCATCTCCACCCTGCAATGACTTACTTTGGCGGATCCACGCTGGCTGCTATTATTTGCACAATGGTAATGCAACTGAATATGATTGATCCTCTAGCTATCCACATCGCTGGAGGCTCACAACCCTTCATGCCCCACGAATGCAGAGAGTGGATCTCGACCAGGTGGGCAGCAAACGGCATTTGCCTCAGGGAGGGAGGGAGGGAGGGAGGGAGGGAGGGAGGCAGGGAGGCAGGGAGGCAGGGAGGCAGGGAGGCAGGGAGTGGATCATATCACCACGCACACGTACCAGCACTTGATCAGCAGCGTTCCCGCGAGGACGCCCCAGTAGGCGTGTGAGCCTCTCACGTAGACGACCTCGCCAAGATCATCGTATTCGGCGGATAGCTTCAGGATAGACCTCAAGAGCAAATGAAAACAATGTACGGTAGGTTTGCGTCGTGTCGACCAGCGGCGACCCCAGCGCGGGCGTTCAAGGTTGAACGCCGCCGGCGACCCAGAATCGATCGATGTTGAACGATCGGACGTTGCGGCAGCGGCCGATCGTTCAAGGTTGAACGATCCTCGCGGCGTCAGGGACCAACGCCCAGGTCGACACGGCACGAACCTGCCGTACGCATCTCCGCCTGGCAGCGAGGATCCCGACCCGGTAGCGGAGTTTTGCGCGATAAAGCGATCCTTCGCATCTGGAGCCACTAGACATGTGTGGAGCGAGCTCAGCAGGATCGAGGGGATACCCAGACACGCGTAGGCAAGAATGCAGAGGGCATCGATAGGCTGCAGAATGTCCAGGTGAACTTGTCTGAACAGATGGGGCACCTGGAAGAGACGACCTCGCAGCCTCTAGAACGGCAGGATCAACTCGCGGAGATCGAGGGAGTGCGTGGCCCGAGTGGGCCAGGGGGGGGCATGGCCCGGCACCGCAGGTTGCGCATGGGGGCCCCAGGTTGCCTCTGGGGGCCCCGAGGGCTCCCGGGCGGCTGCGGAGGCCGCCACGGCCAGCTGAAGGCCGCCCGGATTGCCCCGAGGGCGCTCCAAGACGCCCCAAGATGACGTCAACGAGGGCCACGAGACCCCACAGACGCCCAAAGAGGGCGCCAAGATGCCTCCCAAGAGGGCCCCAGGAGGCAAACATCGCCAAATCTTGTTTGGACAATGTATATATTCAACGATGTCGCTTCTCCGGCTGCTGACAGCGTTTCAGACGGTCCAAGAGGCGCCCCGGGAGGCTCCACTGCCGTTTCTGAGGCCCCAAAAGTTGCCCCAAAAGGGCCCCAAGACGGTCCAAGGGAGGCCCAAGAGGGCTCCCACAGAGTGCCACGACGGGTCGTGGAGCACTTCGTTGGGGAGGGCGACTCCCAACATGCTCCCGTCACCTCCCAGAAGCCTCCAGGGCGGTCCCAAGAGGCCCCCAGAGGCTTCCGCCCAAGAGACCCCCGAGAGGCCCCAAGAGGCTCCCTAACTGCTGTCAAAAGCTCCCGAGGAGGCCTCCCAATAGGCTCCAAGAAGCGTCTGGGAGGTCTCGCGTCCACGTCCTGCACGGCTTCAAGAGGCCCCCAGTTCACGATCCATCTCACGGCTTCAAGAGGCCCTTCAGGAATTTGCAGCGAGGCCCCGACAGGCACCCAAGACGCTCCGAGCTCACGATCCAGGTCATGGGTGTGCCGCCATTGGCGGGCCGTCCTCGACGAGGCTTCCTGGCGAATGCGTGTAATACCCGACCCTTGGCCATCCACCGCTTCTGCCTCCGCCAATGTTGACGAAGTCCCATGGCCGCGACGCGGCTGGCAGGGGTAGGGACGCGTCAGAGGCGTGAGTTGCTTTGCGGCACCACCCGCAGACATCAGAGCATGTTTCTTTTGTGCAGCCAGCGGGGCCCAGGGGTCTCTTCCCTTCCCCCGGGGCAAGAGATTACCAGCCTGGAACCTTTCCCTATCCCTATGTTGGGCATCCCCTCATCACGATGCCAATCTTGGGGATTCCCGTATTTTCTGAGGGCGCGTCCCCAAGATTGTCATCGCCTTTTGGCGTGTCAGTCTTAGGGATGGGGATAAGTTCGAGGCTCAGACGGCCGGAGGGGGCCGCAGACGGCCCAAGACTGCCAAAAACCAGAGGGACCAAGACGGTCCCAGGGAGCCCCAAGACGGCCCGGGAGGACCCCAAGATTGTCTGAAAGCGGCCTCACGGGACCCCGACCAGTCTGGACGCCCGAAATGGGTACGGAAAGAAGGGGTTCAATGCCCAACAGCAGTTCCTGTTCCTTTCGAACCGGATTCGCTGTCTGCGCCGCCGCGGCCTGTATCCATTCGAGGCAGAAGGCCGCCCGCTCAACAGCGGCTGCTGTTTGTTTGGGACAACATTTGTTGTTGGGCATTGTCCCAATTTTTCCGTACCCATTCCGGGCGTCGAAAATCAGGGCCCATTCGGGACCTTGCGTTTGTATGGCGACGGTCAGAATTCGATCGACAGAATTCGATGTACACAAGTATATTCGCACATACATCTATAGTTGCATATGCATGCACAAGCGCATGCACATGTACATCTACATCTACACACATGTACATCATTAGGCATGTAACTACACACGAACCCACCTATTCAAGTGTGCATATATATATATATATATATATATATATGTCAGTCCTGTATGCACATATATACGTGTACACACATACGCATGCACATATGCATGTACAAATACAACATCTGTACACATACACACATACATACACGAGTACACATACATGTACGTCTACATGCACAACGATTCATACATGTACATGTGTGTTTATTAACAACCTCATCAACACCTGCACATGCAAATACAGGTGCATAAACACAACTATGTTCATTTACCTGTACATGTACGTGTACAGTTTCCCTTCCGTAAACTCATTCTTATACTTGTAAGTATATGTATACCAACACATTCACGCATGGTTGCAGGTATACGTTTACATGTACTTGTACATACACAGATATACATACATTTACCCATCATCATACATACGCGTGTACCTGTCTATATATATATATATAGAGAGAGAGAGAGAGAGAGAGAGAGAGATCTGCTGGGCTACGGGGGGGTCCAGGCCCAGGCCGGGACCCCCCGGTTTGGACCACGACATGTGACATGTTGACCTATTCGGGGCCTGCCGGGCAACCCCCCACTGCTCAAACAGCTCTGGGGTCTACCAGAAGGCGACCAGAGCGGCCTGACAGGGCCGAAGACGCCCGACTCAGACGGCTTAAGAGGTCCCGAAGACGTCCTGGGATGGTTCCACGATGCGCCCCGAGTGGGCCCCAGGGGCCCAGGAGGTCAGAATTGCTTCGTTCAGTCAGCAAGCAATAGGTTTGGCGACTGACTCATCCCTATGCAGCCATGTGTAGCGCAGGGCGCGGGTCTCTCTCTTCATACATTGCGCGCCGCGAGGAAATGCGGAATGGTGTCTGCTGCGGAACATTTTCTAACCAGCGCGAAAGAGCCCAGCGGTAAGGTGAGGAGACGACCGAGGGGGGAGAAGAGGGGAGGGAGGAAGGGCGACAGCACGGCAGGCCGCGCCGCCTCCCAGCTCAGTCTGGGGGGCCCCGCCGCGCCTGCAGCCGAGCGCGCAGCGCCGCCCGCCAGACGGCCTCGCGGCCGCCGGCGCGCGCCACTGGCAGCAGCAGCAGCATGCCCGCCCGCGGCGCCAGCGTTGGGGCCCGCCCGCCGCGTGGCCTGCTGGAGAACACCGGCCAGCTCGGCGCCCAGCAGCCGCCTCGCAAGCACGCCACCCACGCGGGGCCCTGCGCCGCCACGTGCGGCTGCCAGGCGGCGCCCGCGAACAGCGCCCCCGCCGTGGCTTGCTCCCCATCGCGGGGACGCGCGGCGGGTGCGACGGCTACTGGCTGCCCTGGCCGCGCCTTTGCCGGCGGCGTCGCAGCGGCGGCGACCGCCGCCGCGTCCCCCACCCGCGGCGCCCGCCTGCGGCAGCGCCCCGGCGCCGCCCAGCGTCGCCGCTCCCTGGGCCTGCCTGGGCCGACGCCGCCGTGGTTGGCCTTCAGGGCGGCCAGTTCCACGGCGGCCGCCGCGCGCTGGACCGTCGCGAGCGCCTCCAGCACTCCAGCCTCCGCGTGCGCTGCTGGAGAAAAGCCGGCGGTGGGAGCCTGGCTTTCGCGCCAGCGCCAGCCAGCGTTTTCGCCGCGTCGTTCCCGGTCCAGTCCTGCGCGGAGCGGAGCACGCGTGCATGGGTGCGCTGAACTCTCTGTGGGGCACCATCCGCGTGAAGTGTGTGCCGAAGGATTCGGATGCCCCCGCGCAAACACGCCCACTGAGGCCGCAGGTGGACCTCTGGGCACGACCCGTGCGAGGCATGTTCCGAAATGGGCGGGGACGCCATGCGAAGCTGCCCATTGATGCCGAGCTTCTTTGGGGCATGATTCGCGTGACGGGTGTGCCGACATGGGTGGGGGGGCGTTGTACGAATCTTGTCTCTGGGCATGAGGTGGTGCTCCTTGTGGGCCGCGTGATTGGGTGTGCTGTAATGGCCAGGGGGGGCGCAGTGCGAATCTTGCCTCTGGGGCCGTTGGTGAAGATCCCTTGTGGGCCACGAGCCGTGTGAGAGGTGTGCCGAAGTAGGCAGGGGGGGAGGGATGCGATCCTTGTCTTTGGGGCCCGTCCGAGGAACTCTTTGCGGGCCACGATCCGTGTGAGAGGTTTGCTGAAGAGAGTTGAGGAGCGCCACGAAGATTCTCTCTGGTTATATAGATGCAGTTGCTTGCGGTGCACGAGCCGCGCGAGGGGCGTGCCAGCATGCGAACCTTGTTTCTGGGGACGTAGGTGGAGCTTCCTGTGGGGCGCGATCCCTTTGAGTGGTGTGCCGACATGGGCGGGGGAACGCTAAGCCAAGCCTGTCTCTGGGGCCTCAGGCGGAGCCCCATGGGTGGCACGATCCGCGCGCGATGTTTCAGTACAGATATACCTCGCCAGGGTCTGGGCAATGGGCAGCAGACATCAGCGGCCGCGATGGTACCCATGCCATCGCCGCCACCTCCAGCGCCGCCGCCGCCGCAGCCCAGACACAGGTCAACGCCCCGAGGGCGAGAGGCAGCGGCGAAGGTGGAGCATGAAGAGGCTCACAATACCACATGGTGCCTGCGGAAGGGGTGTTGCAAGCCGTGGCGTCGGTGCGGGCTGCGAGCCATGCGAGCTGGGCTTCCGAGTGACGCCCAGCGCAGGGCCCCCGACTCCGCGGCCACCCATAACTACCCCCAGCCAGTCGCGCGCCTGGACGCCAGGCCACGCCGCCGCAACCAGCGACGACGACCGAGGAGGATGGAGGACTGCTGCCGCCGACGAAGGAAGTCGACCGACGACAGCAACGACGACGACGGTAGCAACGACGATGACGACGACGACAGCAAAAAAACGATGACGACGACGACGGGCGAGCACGACGAGCGGGACGCCCCGGCGGCGGCGGCAGGCGCCATTCGATTGCTCCCCGGCTCAGTTCCTGGAGGCGTTCGGGTTCCTGTTCGGCAGGCAGAGCTCCTGGGAGCCGGAGGAAGCGGTGCCGCCGTGCGTCGGGGGCGGGCTCGGCCCTCCCTCCAGTCCCGTCCTTGCCCTCGTCCGTCTCGTCTCTCGCACATGCCTCCCTTGTCCCTCTCCTTCCTGCTCCGCCTCTCTCCTCGTCCGCATCCGCTCGCCTCATCCTCCTCCCTATTCCTCCCGATTCCTCCCCCTCCCTCCACCGGGGGCCGGGTGCACTTCGCCCGCCCCATGAGGAAAGATGCGGATCCTAAGGTTCAGTCGGGCAGCTCTGTCTACTGGAGGGATGGTCAAGAACAGCATCACATTACGATAACGATTTTTGATGTTCGTATGTTTCAAATTCTGAAGCAACATAACTGTTTGGCTATTTTGTCTATGTGTTTGAACGTGTCTTCCAAAACCCGCCTGTGAGACGACGTGCCCGACCCAATCCTAAGGGAAAAAAGGGGCCCTTCGGTGTTGCCCTCATTCAGGCCTGCAGGCCCCTTCCTGGTTCCAGGGCCCGTAGAAACACCGCTCGGGGTGAGAGCTGGTCTTGGGGGCAGGTCCAGGGTCACGGGTCAGCCCGCTCCCCTCATGCCCAAGTTTGCCCGCCCAGTCTTGGCAGTGTGTGGCCAGGCTCTTCCTCTTGGATTGCATGTAAGTCGGGCATGCCACTCTACAGGAGGACCAGTGAAAAACAGTGGTCAAACATTGGCAGGGTATCATTTTCGATCATGTGCATGTATGTTTGAGCAGTTGTTGGCCATGTTTTCTTGTTCGTCCATAATCCGCCTGTTGGGGGACATGGCCGACCTAAGACTGGATATGTGTTGACTGTTGGTTCCCGCCGGCCGTGATGGCCTCAGCCGTGGGTCGTCGCCGCGCCGTGTCTTGTGCTGCGCCCTCGTGTGCATCGGCGCCATTCGACTACGCTTGCCATGGCTTTCGGGAGTCGTCGGGCTGGGGCGGTGTTGACCGATCGTCTCCGACGTCTCTCGCTCGTAACCACTGCTTGTAGCCAGCCTTCGTCGGACGCGAGTCGATAGCGAAGTCGCCATCCTCGGCTCGGTGTCATCGTTTTTATTTTTTGTTTGTGTGCAGTGGACACGTAGTCCTCGCCATCGTTTGCCAAAGGAATCAATCATATCCCGATTCTTCTGAGTGCTGGATTTGGTGAATATGGTGTGGCGGCGACTCTGAAAATGGTGCGTTGATTCCATAATTCATCACCTTTTAGTTTTCCTATCCCCCTTCCTCATCCTTCTCCTCCCTCCGCATCCTCATGCGGTTATTTCCTGCTACCTTGGAGGGAACCTGATGGGTCAATGGTGAGGAGGGGGAGGACGAGTAGCAGGAGGAGGAGGAGGAGGAGGATGTGCAGACACTGTGCAGAGTTCTGTGGCCATTAGGGCTCGAGTGTTTTGCACATTTGTACGGCAATCCATCTTCTGATGCTGAACGTTCCTCGGCACCGTTCACTGTCTAGTTTCATCTTCGCTTCGCCCCCTTATGAGCTTCCAGAAAGCGAATAGGCACACGCATCTCAGTCAGACAAGTGCCCGCGGTAGACTGTGCGACACATGTGTCCGTTATGGCAGCAGATCGCCTAACGTCCCAAGTTGCTTCAAGTAGCGCTCCTTCTTTGGCTTCGAAAACCGTGGAGGACCGCCGCTGTCTCGACGGGCCCTCCCGCTGCCCCCGCCCCCCTCCCCCTGCTCCCTCCCTTGGGGAAACGACGAGGTCTCGACACCGCTACCCTCCAGACCTCTCCTAGAGCGCCTCCTGACCACAGCTTCGCGGCGACTCCGGCCCATCACGACGAGGGAGGGGCAGCGGTATCGGCACCCTTTCCTGCTCTGCTCCCCCTCCCCGCCTCCTTCCCCCCCCTCCGCAGCAGAGGCCGCCCACCAACGTCTCGCGCTGGCCCGCAGAACTGTCCAGCTCCATGGCAGGGCCAGGACAAGTCTTGGGACGGCCCCGCGGGCAGCCAGCGTCCGAACCAGGTTCTCTCGACCAGAAGGCACGTCGGGGAACATGGGAATTCGTTGCTTCTGCCGCGGATTCTTGTCATGGTGGGAAGCAGGGGGGCACTGCATTCATACTCATGTCGATGCACTCTTCGAAAGGCGAGGGACTCGACAGTCCCCCGTTTACGACGCCTTCGGCTCCGGCGTTAATGGCCTGCTGTGGGCGCTCCTGGCTCTTCTGCGCTCGAATGCACGCGGCTCCTCACGGTACGACGTCGGTGGAGCCCTCCGGGGTCTTGCCGTGCTTTGTCGGCATTTCCTCCGTGCGCTTGCGGCGCTCTTCACGCGCCTGGGTCCATGCCTCCTGCCTGCCTGCCTCCTGCCTCCCGGCTTCTGCCTCCCTCCTCCCACCTCCCTCCTCCCTCCTCCCTCCTCCCTCCCTCCCTCGTCCCTCCGCCCTCCCTCCTCCCTCCCTCCTCCCTCCTCTGCCTTTCCTGCTTCTCCTCCTCTTCCTTTTCCTCCTATTTTGTCCCCCCTTCCGGCGCTCTTCCACGCGCCCCATCCTGTCCAGTTGCTCGTCCTGGGCCAGGTTCGGCAGCCCAGGAGGCCCGGAGCGGGCTCCCAGATGCCGTCGTCTCGAGGGAGAGCTGCGGGCCCGACGTTCTCCATCTCCGAGCCCCCTCTCCTCATCTTCGGCGGCGGGCGGTGGCGACGATGGTCGGGGGCGGCAAAGAGGGGGAGTGGCGACTAGGGGGTGGTGGAAATCACGGCGGGGGCCATGATATCTCCCCAGATCTCATGGCGCTTCTTCTTCTTCTTTCATTACGTCTCCGCCCTCCTCCAGGGCCGCGCACATGCCGCCGGCCATTATTTGCGCCCCCCCCTCCTGGATGCCCCCCTCTTGGCCGCTCCCGAGGTGGCGGCGACGGCGTCAGCAGCGGCATTGGCGACGGCGACGCTGGCGGCGGCCACGACGACGCTAACGGCAACGCCAGTGACGGCGACGTTTCAGAGGCGACGATAGGGGCGAATAGCCCAGGGGAGTGCAATATATGTATCCAGGGGCGCCGATGATCTATGTCTTCGACGACAAGGCTCCCGGGCGAATGCGTGTAATGTCCGCCCCTGGGTTATTCGCCCTTATCGTCGCCGCCGAATGTTGGCAGCGGGGGCGGCGACGGCGGCAAGCCGCGGGCAGGACGAGCAGCTGGCGTTCCTGCGGGCCTTGCGCGAGCAGGCCGTGCGCCGCGTGCCCCCCGGGGGCGCCTCCTGCCGCCGCCGTCGCCGTCTGCGTCGCAGGCACTGTCAGGGCCACCGTTGTCGACGTCGACGGCCGAAAGTTTTTTTCCTCCACCCGACAGGTTGGGGTGGTGAATCGGTGGGTCGTCCAAGGTGGGCTCCTTGAGGGAGGGGGTCCTAAAGGCGAGGCACCTCAAGCAGCGTAAATCCCCCCTTTGGATGTCAGTATCGTTTAACCGATCCCCATCCCAATCCCAATCCCCTTCGAGACCCGCACCAAATCACCACCCCAGTTGGTGATACACCCCTCGAAACCCGGAGGGAACGGCCTACATCCCCACCTAGGGGGGTAAATCGGCCATTGGGGCCCAGGCCACGCAGCTGGGGATGGGGATCGGCGAAACGATACTCACCCATTCCTCAGGACCTCCTCCTCCTCCCCCTCCTCCTCCTCCTCCTCCTCCTCCTCCTCCTCCTCCTGCCACCCCCCCTCCATACCCATTTTGGCTCAAGGGGCCTTCTCCTGAACTTCCCAACCTCGCTCGAGGCGCCTGGTGGCCAGGCACCAAGGCCGGGAGCGGACGCGCTCCCCTGGCCCCGCGGGGCCGCTCCCCTCGGCCCGCCGCGGCCGCACCTTCCTCCCCTCCCTGGCCATGCCGTCAGAAGATAGTTTGCCTGAGTCGATTGCCACCATTCCGCCAGCCTCCACTCCGCCTGCATCCCCTGGAGGTACGACTATGGAGGGAGTGAGGGACACCGAGAAGATCCTCGCTGCCATGCATGACATGATTGCTCCTCTGTCGTCGTCGGTCGCCAGCTTATCCAGTCAGTTGAATCGCGGTATGCAAGAGATAAACCAACAGATCTCGGGAATCCAGGGTCAGATGATCGCAGCCGAGAAGAATTTCCAGACACTTCAGCAGGCACACACGGAACTGGCAAAGCAGACAGCATCGAATTTCGAGCAGATGCGTGCGATCCACGAACAGGCCCTCTTGCAGTGCATCCAGGACCGTGAAACCGCTGAATCTGCCCGTCGGGATGAGCTCAAAGGAATGATCCAGACGATGCGTGACGAGATCCAGGATATTCAGAAAGTCGTCGAGCTTGGGTCCCCGACACCTCGTGGGGAAGAAGAAAGGCAAGTCCGTCGGAAGATTGAGTCTGGGCTTGTTGGGAAGCCCTCGAGTCTGGTGGTTCTTGGATTTCCACGGCCGCTGATGGAGAAACGTTCCGTGAAGCCGCCCAGAGCATCATCTCCCGCTGTGCTCCGTCCTCGTCTCAGGGTTCGATCCATGTCAAGGCCTTCGCTTGCAGTAAGAAAGTATTCCTGGACTTTGATTCCAACCTAGAGACCACAACGTTCCATGGGATGGCGTCGTCCGCGGGCACGTTCCCTTTCCCGAACCCTGAGGGCGGTCCCCACAGACAGCTACGGGTCCGACGCGATCTTCCCCCCTCTTCCAGAAAGTTGTTCTACTACCTCGGGAATATGCGACAGCATGTCTCCAGGATCTTCGGGGCGGGCAAAGTGGGGCCCACGGGACTAGGAGGTGCAGTGTATGTGATGAAGGACAACGGAGTCCCTGTGCCTGTGGTTCAGATTTCTATTGCTGATGATGGCCCAGCCGCAGGTGCAGCGCAGCGCGGCGTCGAGATTGATGGGTTGACGGAAGTGGGAGGGCAGCAGCATGCGCAGTGTCTGCGTACCAGGTTCGCAGAGATCCGCCCATTTCGGTAAGTATCCGAACAGTTCGACAGGTGAGTGTGCGGTGGGGAGAAGTCCAGTGGGTTCTGCTACTGAGTGCTCGTCCGCCCTCTCCGCCCAGTTTGATGCACTCCGTGCAAGTGACAGTGCTCTATCCTTCTCGCCTTCTGCTGGGGATGCTGGTGGTGTCTACCGTCCTGCCCGTCCGCTGTCTCTCTGCAGTTGGAACACGCGCGCGCTCTTCGCCTCTCTCTCGTCTCGCTCTTCTCGGTCACGTTCGCGCTTCCTTCGGGCCAAGCAGCTGCCCTCACAGTATCAGATCATGTGTTTACAGGAGACGCACGGATCTGAAGCAGACTTGGTTACCCTTCGGGACGAAATGCGGACTGGGCAATTGTTTTGGAGTTTTCTGGAGGATCGAAACGCGGAGGGAGTGGTGACCTCCCTGTCTTCAGAACTCTGTGACTGTTTCGACTCGATCGCTCCGAGTACGGTCGTTCCTGGGCGAGTGTTACTGGTCCATTGTCGGGGACCTCGAGGCGACTTGGTAGTGGTTAGTGTTCATATGCCTAACACGTGCGATGACGTTCGTATCTATAATCAGTACTTACGCCTCATCAGTGCCGCTCTTCCTGCGGCAGCGCATACCATGGTTTTCATTCTGGGAGACTGGAACTTCTGTACGATGGAGGATGGTAGGTCTCTTGTATCTGGGGAGGTTGGGCCTGGGGGCCGTTTGCAATGTGATGCGTTTCAGGAGCATTGTGGCCACTGGTGTGAATTGTACCAACCCGACCCGACCAGAAGGGATATTGTGAATCGGGAAGTGAGGGGGCTGGCCAGGTTAGATCGGGTTTACACGACCCTTCCTGCAGGTATTCTCAATGAGATGACCGTTGTTGCCAACGCTGTCGGCGCCCTCATGCATCCAGGGGCCTCCTCCGATCACATTCCCGTGACTGCCGCGGTTTCCCTCCCGACCCCAAAGGGTCGTTTCTCGGTTCCGAAATGGATCAGCCAGCATGCCGACTACCGCAGATTGGTTTCCGAACAGCTTCGTGAGCTGACGCCCTCCTCGGACCCCGCTCAGGAACTCGCGAGGGTGAAAGAAGTTTTTGGTACGGCAGCTGTGGAATTTAAGAAGGCCCTTAAGTGTCGGCCAGCTGGCAACGATGCGGAACGGCTACACTTTGCATGCGTGGCATACCGTGGGTGGAGGGGTCGGCAGTGGTATCTCTGTCTTCGTTCCACCCGTTGCTACGCCTCTCTCCTGCCTTTCTTCGACGCCGACGGCGGTGTGTGCACTGACCCTGATGGCCTCCGCAGTTTGGTGCTAACCTTGAAGGGGCGCTGGTTTGATGCGGAATTGGAGGAGGTGGGTCATAGTAACCAAGTGGAGGAGGTCAGGACCAAGAAGAGGCGGGGGCTGGTTGCTCTTAGGCGCGGGTGGGGTCTCATGTGGCGGAGGACTGGACTGCTAGGCGTTCTGGACGAGAGCGGGGCCCCGTGTACCTCCCCAGAAGCGGCTTCTGCGGCACTGGTTGCCCATAGGAGTAAGGTCTTTGCACGGGCTGATTACGACCCGACTCACTGGGAAGAAATATTGACCCATGTTCAGACTATTGGCGGCTGTGCTATTGCCCCACGGTGAACACTGGGCGCGGATGAGTTTCGGGGCCGTGCCAGCCATAAGTTTCATTCTGCTCCTGGCCCTGACGGGGCCCCGTATGGGTGCTGGAAGGTCCCTGAGGCGACCGATGCTTTATTCGAGGTTTACGAGGGGGTTTTCAACAGTGGAGGAGGGGTTCTCCCCTCTGAATGTCGGGTTAGTCGGATGGTGTTTCTCCCGAAGGGCAGCGACCCCAGGAATCGCAGCGACTTTGTCTCTCGTGCACCTGCCTCCACCCGCCCGCTCTCACTGGCGAATGCGGATGCGAAGATGCTCTCCGATGCCTTCTGTTTGGGACTCAACGGCGTCGCTCCTGAGACGGTGGATGTCCCCCAGCGTGGTGGGGTTCGTGGGCGTAACATACTAGACAATGTCGTGGAAGTTGAAAAATGGTGTCGTGTCCAACACATGTGTGGGAGAGATAAGGCGGTTGTCTTGTTTACCGACTTCAAGGCGGCGTTCCCTTCGATCCTGGCTGTGTGGATTTTTTGCCGTCTTGGTGGCCATGGGGCCCCCCAGTGAGACCGCGGGCTTCTTCGAAGCCCTCTACGCCAACATCGCAGCCCTGATGCGCTTTGAGGGCGCTGCCGAAGCAGTTTTCCCTGTGGAACGAGGTGTGCGGCAGGGGGATCATGCGTCTATGGCCCTCTTTGCACTGGCCCTGGGCCCCGCGCTGCGCTGGATCCGCGCCCGCCGCGTCGAACGGGTAGGCATCCAATTGGCGTGCGCTGATGACTGCTGCTTTGGTCTATATGACGTTCTCATCGATCTCGTGCCCACCTTGCTGCTTCTCGACTTGCTCTCTTCCGCGATTGGTCTCTCATTGAATGTGGGGAAATGCTACGTCCTGATCTGCGGGGCGTTGGGTGGAGATGCCCCCGCTGCTCACATGACTCGGAAAGGCAGCCGTTTCGCCTCAGTTCGTTTCGCCACCAGAGTTTTGTACCTCGGATTCTGGGTGGGCCCATCGGCCCATGAGGTGGCCTGGGTGGAAACGATGAATAAATTCTGGCAGCGAGTTCGTCTTCTTCGCTCTCTCTCGCTGGGCTTGGCGACCATCACCCGCCTGTTCCATTCTAATTGCCTCTCAGTCTTGCAGTATCGGATTCAGCTGGCGAGGGTCACCCCAGGGGTTCGGCGTCAGTATAGGGAAGCATCGCAGATACTAACAGCGGGACCTCGGCATGCATTGAACTACACTATGCTCACCCAGTTACGTGACCTTGGGATCTCATTTGAATTCGTGGACCTGGGACTGCACGATAAAGCTACGAAATTTCATGTAATAATGTGGTGCAAGCCATTAGATGTGGCGCTTTATGAGTTAGATTGCTTATCTAGTGGCTTGGCTGATGATGAATTTATTATTGTCCGTATGTTCTTTGGGTGGTGGTGCCATTCGATGATGCGCACGGCGAATGAGGATGCTGCGGACCCCGCGAACTCTCCCATTGATCGAACTGCCCGGCTTATCCAGGCCAAGGTCCATAGGCACTTACGGTCGGTTCGTATGGCGATCCCCCTGATGTGTCTGAGTGCACGGATATCGAGGTGGTTAGTTGCTGCATCTCTCGAGGATATGTTCCGTCTGCGGACAAGATTGCGCGCAGTGGAGCGCGCC